GTTCAGTGCTATGGTATAACTAAATTCCCAGATAATGGAAATTATGCAATAGTTTTAACTTATGTTCCAGAAGGAAATTTAAGGGATTATTTACAAAAAAATCATTTAAATTTAACATTAAAAGACAGAATTACAATCTTTGATTATTTATGTGATGCATTAAATACTATACATGAAAAAGATTTAATTCATTGTGATTTACATAGTGGTAATATATTATTGAAAGGAGGTTTTTGTTTTATTACAGATTTAGGATTATGTGGACCAATTGATGATAAGTCATCAAATAAAGTCTATGGAATTATAACATATGTTGCACCCGAGCTACTTAGATGCAAAAAGTACACAAAAGAAACAGATATCTATAGTGTTGGAATGTTAATGTGGGAAATATTTGCCATTTGATGATAGAGCTCACAACCATTGTTTGATTTTTGATATATGTGAGGGTTTACGACCACCAATATTACCTGAAATGCCTGATTATTATGTGCAAATGATGCAGAGGTGTTGGAATGTGGATCCATCAGAAAGACCAACTAGTAAAGAGCTGTTTGATTTTGCCATGAATAAACTCAAAGAAATTACTAATGATAACAATAGCAATAATAATACTACTAGTAGTGGTAGTAGTGCTTTACAACAAGCACACAAATCACATCCAGATGCATATCATAAAAGTAGAATATTAGATGAAGAGATTGCTAAATCTATAAGCTTTAAAATTTATACAAGTAATGATAGTTCGTTAAATGATCTTGATTGTAACTTTTTTCTCTAGAATGTTAAAAAGGTAAATAAAAATTTCATTATTAATCAATTGAGATTACTATCCATTAATTATTACTAATGATATTAATTAATTAATTATTAAACAAACATAGTAACAATAGTAAAGAAAAGATGCGATGAATGACTAATTTAATCTCTACTATAAATTTATTATCTTTTTATTATCTTTTTATTTTATTCTTATTTTGTTTCTTATAATAATATTTCTTATAATAAACTCTACAATTTTCTGGTTCTTGTTAAATGGTGATATTGCGAGGTATCAGTTTGATTAATTAACAATTATGGCTTAACTTTTGGGCTATAATTCGGTGCTTGCCAACTAAATAGTTTACGAATTTGCTTTGGTTCTCAATTACTGCACCTAAATGAATCTGTGAGCACACTTGATGGTACCAAATAACTGTAATTAAATAAATATGGCCCTTTTGCAGTGCTATAAAGTTCCTTTTATTCACTTTGTTTCAGTTGTTTACATTTATTGGCCGATTGCAAACTCGCTTTGGTTTACTTGCAAAACAACTCAAGTAGCTTGTTTAACAACCTTACGTTACGATTGCAATAATAATATTACCAGTATTTCCGATTAACCCTTAGACGGAAGATACTTCATTAACACCCGCTATTTAACCAACGTTAGCCCTAACCTTGCTTACTTGCTTACTAAAACAAGTAAACGTGGCCTTTTACCAATGTCCCACAATTTTTATCTTTTACCAAGGCACTATTTACACTTGTTGTTTTTATCAAAGCGCTTTAAACAAAGAAAATTAAGACAATGTTTTAATTTTTAAGATTAAATTTTATTTAATAAAAATAATGATTCTATCACAGAGTTTTATTTTATTAGAATGTTAATTATCTATTATTTTCCTCTGCAAGGACCAGAAGTTATCCTTAATGAAGTTTACAATAAGGAAAATAATTTTAATCAATCAATATTAATATTGACATTATAATTATTTACACAGTAGTTTGATGATAATTATAAATTAAATTAAAATTAGTCGACCCTGGAATATAAAGTACCGAATCCCTAGTCGATGATGATTTTTATCTAACCCGATTATGTATCACGTTATAAATGTGTGTAGGAGAAACAATGGAGATATTGAAATACATATGAAATATATATAAAAAAAAGGATCTTGAAAATATATATTTATAAATTTTTTTGAGAGCTTTTTATATTTTATTAGTCTTTAAAGCAATTTTACTTGCGTCACTTTTGACTTAATGGCAACAAATTTAACGTAGTAGTTTTATAACATTAATAATTATTGATGATAGTGAAGAACAATGCAAGAATTAGTTTTTTGGTTGAAGTTTCTATTACAAAATATTAATATTATTCTTTTTGTGCTGTGAAATTTTATTTTGTTCTCATATATACTTCAAAAAAATTCAATTTAACAAAAGTCCATGATTCGTAAAGTGATGTTCCTGAAAATCCAACGTAATATTGAAATAATGCTTGTGTAAAATAAAAACACATACACTTATAGAATGTACCTAGCACAAATTTGGAACTTCTAATATAAGACCATCTACCATGCACTAATAACAAATTTTTTAAGAATCTAAATTGTGCTATGCTATAATCACTTGACCTGGCTGCTTGTAAACCTTCTTTTCCTGTTATGCCAATACCAACATGTGCTTCTTGTATCATTGCAATATCATTTGCACCGTCTCCAATTGCTAATGTAACATGATGCTTTAATTTTTGTCGTATACTATGTACAACTAGTGCTTTTTGACTGGGGCTGACTCTACAACAAATCACCGCATCACATAATATGCCCAAATCAACAAAATTTTCAATTAATTCAGGATCTTGCTCTATCTTCATTAAAGTTTCACCATCAACCACAGCAACAGGATGTAGCACCTTACGATTCCGTATATCTTTTATTGCTTGTTTTAGTAATTTTTGGAGATTAACATGCGAGTCCAGGATGATTGTGGTAGAATAATCTTTTATCAAAGAGCACGAGTATCCAATGTTGATAGCAGTTTCTCTTTTATCACCTGTCAACATCCAAATTCTTATATTAGCTTTTCTCAACAAATCAATTGTTTCTGGCACACCACTTTGTAATTTATCTTCAATGGCAGTTGCACCCGTTATCTCTAAATCTTTCTCAATGAGTTCTGCCACATCTTCCATTTTTTGTTGACGATCTTTCATTGAGGTGGAGGCCTCTTGATACAATTTATTCCATAATTGATATTCTTCCTCCTCTAAAAATCTATGACCATAAAGTAGAGTCCTTAAACCTTCAGTAGCAAAATCTTGTATATGATACATTGTTTGACTATGCAGCCAGGTTTCATCTTGTATTGGAAATGAATCCATAATGGAATAGTCTGAATCTGTTGTTTTAAAACAATGAGAAAAAATAATCTTTTATACTTTCTTTATCAGAATTAACCAGAGCACTACTATACATTTTACCATTTGTTTTATATACAAATTCATTTCTTTCTGGTGATAACAGTTTATCATATGACATTATATAAAATATAAAATTCGACTTGGTGTTTTAATGAATATAGAGTGGAGTTTTTTTTTTTTTTTTTTTTGAGAATAACAGTTACATTATTTCCCTTTGACATACATAAAGGTTTCCGCGTTACGATTACTTTTACCAAATTTGAAATATTTGGTTGCACGGGAAATATTTGATTCACCTGATACGACATCAAGTCCATCCACATATCCAAAATCTTTACAAAATATTGATTCGCCTGCTAAGGAGGAAAAGTAAAGATGACTTGAAATGGTAAATTCAACGTAGTTACAGATGATATCAAAATCAAAGTAAAAGGGCAATGAGTCGTTTTTTCTTTTTTTGATACTCTGGCTTGAAATTAATTTGTAAAGTTAAAATTGAAATTTGAACAAAAATATTTTCGTTTTCCATGGCTGTGGTTATTTTTGCATCGTGTGTCGTGCAATTCCCATTGCTATCTATTTGGCAACCGAAAAATTCATCTATTTTTGTTCAAAACGTCATGTTGAGCGAGCAGCTACTTGATTAAAAAGAAATTGTATTTCTCTCTAGATTATTTTGCTCGTGTTTATTGTTGTCTACCGTTAGATTTGCGTCTTTTTGGGCCGTTCAAAATGACCAAAAACTTATGACCTTGCCTTGGAGTCTTAGTGTTAGTATATTTCCGGGAACGAGACCAGGATTAAAAACGTCTTACATTTTATTTTGCTGTTATTATTATTCAATGATCGATAAACAAACAATATGTACAAATTTTTTTTTGATCTGGATAGAAATTTTCATTTTTATTTTTGAATTATCTGGATAAGAATAAATTTATTTATTTAATTGCTAATAAAATTAATATTTGAAATGATTTTTTTTCAATTAAGAAAAAAAAGCTTTGTTGATTTTTTTTTTAACAATTGAAATTCGTAAAAAACCCAATATAGAATAAAGTACTAATCATATATCCAAAATCCAAAGTAAGATACATGAAAGAATCTCAATTAACAGAAAATACCCTAATATTAAAAGATCATTCTAGGGTTACAAATAATCAAAAACTTATAAGCCATTTTCAATATTATATCTTCAAACTCTTAATTAAATTTGCTGCATGTTCATTTTGCATGCTCTCAAGAACTCTTCTACGTTTATCAGCAATAACACACCACCAAGATACCAACAAAAATTTCTTTTAAAGATATAAAAATTACATGTTTTCGTAATTTTCATCAATTTCAGGAGGATAGATCCATAATTATTATTGTCATTTACTATCTTCTGAATCTGAACAAAATGCATGGCTAGTTTTATATCTTTCAATTATCATAGAATTAGTCTAACCATTGATTGAGTTAATGAGGTTACTATGAACTTTTTATCCTGTCCCATAAAAATTAGATGCTTTGGAGGGTCATCATCAATATCCATATTGTCATCATCATTGTCATTTTTATGTGCAAATTTCTGCAAAAGATTATCATCACTTTGAGACCTTAGGTGTGGAAGATCAGGAGCTTTGGATAGAAAAGTTGGAATGTTCTTGCTATTGAAAAATGTTACAGCCCAATCCATAGTAGAGGTTGGCACCGCGCAAAAATTCTTTAACCGGTTAATTAACCGTTAAAATTAAGAGTTAACTGATTAACCAGTTAATTTAGTCACGTGGAATTTTTTTAACTAGTAAATTTCACACATGTAAATTTGAATTTCACGTATGTGAATTGCGAATTCACATAATTTCATTTTCACGTACAACAGTATCATCATTCTAAATTCGCAATCAATCGATCGATTGATCAATCAATTAATAAATTGATCAATTCTTGTTAATTGATATTAAAACTAACCACAGTAATTATTAGGCAATGTTGATTAGGTTTGTTCTAGGTCATCATCATTGGGGAGACATATGGCATTTTGAAATTAGAATTTTGTCAAGAAAATATTGTTGATATAAGGTTAATAATGTGAAGAGATAGATGTGAGTCTGTTTATTTTATTCTCATGCTAATAAATATCAAACATTGATACATTTATTTATATATACAGTATACAGTATGTATATATATATATATATAAATTCAATTAACTTAAAACAACTTTGTTCTTGGATAAATACACAAAATCCTGATAAAATAAAAATTCTGTAAATAAAAAATAAAAAACTAGTTTTGTTTATTTTATTTTTCGTTTAAAACTAAGCTCTTGGTAAATAGTCACGTTTTATTTGTTTTAGTAGTTAAAACTAACATTGGTTAACTAGTGAGCGTTAACAAGTATTGTCCAAAGGTTAATTGGAAATACTGATGGTTAAACAAGCTGCTTAAACTGTTTTGTAAATAAACTAAAGAGGGTCAACAAGTGTAATTGGTCATAAGTAAACATAAGGAAGCTCTATAGATGACTTTGAGCTTTGTAAAAGAGCCATCTTTATCTATTTGCAGTTATCCTGTACCATTGAGTGTGCTTACAGATGTGCCGAAACTTTCTAGGTACAAGGAAGAGACAGTGAGCGAAAACCAAAGTAAATTCGTAAACTAATTAGTTGGCAAACATCGAATTATTTGCCTAAAAGTCGATAAAAAAAAAACCACGTAGACAAAGAATAGAAAGAAACCTGTCTTTCAACAAGTTATAAATTTTTCCAAAATCTATTATAATAATCAAACTTTTACAAAATTTTTTATGATATGTACATACAATAAGGGTGTTTTTTTTAAAAAAACGTCTATTATAAATATTAAAACAAAGAAGGAAGAAAGGAGGATGTGGGATTAAATTAAATGTCTTTTGTTTTTTTTTGACTATTATCATTAACCATTTCCCCAACATTATTATTATCATCACTAGATTCATTTTCATTCATCAATTCTTCCAATAATCTTTTATCTTTTTCAATTTCCTGATAAATATCAACATCAGTTGGCAGTATGATGGATTTAAAAACTTTTACAACCATAATTGGTACAATGGCAAAAAAAATAATTAAAGATACAGTGGTCCAAAATTCAGTTCTTACACTAACTTTTCGAAAAACTCCATTAACCTCATAAGGTGTACTATGAAAATTATTGGGATAAATGTAACTATAGACTGTCTGATATAAAAACCAACCAAATATCGTTATAAATGAAGTGATGTGTGTGATTATTGTCCAATTATGACATTCTAAATATGCTATCTTAATGGTCACAACGAACACCACACATGTATACACTATTAAACCTAATTCATATAATTGAGGTGAACCAGTCCCTCTTACATCACGACCATGTAAAAAGAATGGTATCAAAACTATTACGAATGCATTGTAAATAGCTCCACACATCCAAGAAAAAAACAATTTAAGATTAAAGGCACCATTACGTTGACCAATTGTGTACAATTGGGGAAATCCCAATAATGTCTCTTGATTCAAATCTTTTTCAAAAATACCAATAACTAACACAGGTAATGATGAAAACAATGTATTGTAAAATGACAAAGTCCATGATTCGTAAAGTGATGTTCCTGAAAATCCAACGTAATATTGAAATAATGCTTGTGTAAAATAAAAACACATACACTTATAGAATGTACCTAGCACAAATTTGGAACTTCTAATATAAGACCATCTACCATGCACTAATAACAAATTTTTTAAGAATCTAAATTGTGCTATGCTATAATCACTTGACCTGGCTGCTTGTAAACCTTCTTTTCCTGTTATGCCAATACCAACATGTGCTTCTTGTATCATTGCAATATCATTTGCACCGTCTCCAATTGCTAATGTAACATGATGCTTTAATTTTTGTCGTATACTATGTACAACTAGTGCTTTTTGACTGGGGCTGACTCTACAACAAATCACCGCATCACATAATATGCCCAAATCAACAAAATTTTCAATTAATTCAGGATCTTGCTCTATCTTCATTAAAGTTTCACCATCAACCACAGCAACAGGATGTAGCACCTTACGATTCCGTATATCTTTTATTGCTTGTTTTAGTAATTTTTGGAGATTAACATGCGAGTCCAGGATGATTGTGGTAGAATAATCTTTTATCAAAGAGCACGAGTATCCAATGTTGATAGCAGTTTCTCTTTTATCACCTGTCAACATCCAAATTCTTATATTAGCTTTTCTCAACAAATCAATTGTTTCTGGCACACCACTTTGTAATTTATCTTCAATGGCAGTTGCACCCGTTATCTCTAAATCTTTCTCAATGAGTTCTGCCACATCTTCCATTTTTTGTTGACGATCTTTCATTGAGGTGGAGGCCTCTTGATACAATTTATTCCATAATTGATATTCTTCCTCCTCTAAAAATCTATGACCATAAAGTAGAGTCCTTAAACCTTCAGTAGCAAAATCTTGTATATGATACATTGTTTGACTATGCAGCCAGGTTTCATCTTGTATTGGAAATGAATCCATAATGGAATAGTCTGAATCTGTTGTTTTAAAACAATATGATCCTTCACGATGGTCATGATGGTTTATAGAAATTGGTGAATCTTCTGGAATGACTGGAACAGAAGAAGTTGCAAAATTGTTCATGGAGTGTATTGAAGTTGGTGTCATTGTTATTATATTTGCGTTGATGTTGTAGATATTTGTATCTAATTTAAGATTTCTTGAAGGACTTCTACTAGGTAATCTAATATTTTCAATATTATTATCATCATTGTTGTTATCACTTATATTGATATTATTTCCCTCATTATCAATGATATCAGTTTTCTCTATTATTTTAGCATGATTGTGACCTTTTGATACTGGCATAGTAGTAGTTGCATTTCTTGGATCTTTTAGGCGTTCAAGAATTATAGTATCTGCACCTTTACATAATAAACATATTCTGCCATCTGGTAAACGATAAATAATAGACATTCTTTTACGTTTACTAGAAAATTCTACAACATTTAATATTTCATAAGTTTCAAAAGTGTTTGTTGAAGATGTGTTGTTGTTATTATTATTAGGTTCATCATTTATTGATTTTAAACCATTTGGGTCACCATGGTTTATCCTTAATGAAACTGATGACATTGTACGGTCTATCACTACATAACCTAATTCTTTTGCAGCGGTGACTAAAGCAAATTCATCAGGTGATGAGGCTTGATAGAACACATCTTTTGTTTCTTCATCTATTTCAGGAACACAAGTATGGCATAGTGCTATTGCTAATAAAAAAAATTTTGCCTTTTTACCAAAAGCTGTGTTTGGTTGATGTTGTAAAATGGCTAACAAGCCCAATGTTGATCTTATATTTTCATCAAAAGAATTTTCCATGTCTGTATTATTATTGTTACCATCACCATTACTATTTGTAACAGTAGTAATATAAGTTTTATTTAATTTATGTGATTTAATTGAAGAGATTGAATTGCGTTTGCTATACAATGGTGATGGTTCAGTTACTGCTGGTGCAATCATTGAAAAGGTTTCACTATGTCTTGAATCATGACGTTTTAAAGAGTTTTTATGTTTAACACTATTACTAATTACTGCCATTGAATCTGTTCTTTGTAAAGAAATATTACTACTATTACAATCAGATCCAAAATCATCAAGTGCCATCTCACCATTTTCATTATTATTGGCATCAATAAAATCATTTGATTGTTGGTCTTGTTGTTTTCTAAAATGCCTAGTAATAGAAGCTAAAGAAATTCTTTTTTTTGACTTTTGATTACGAATTGAAAATTTTTTTTTCATCGCCATTTTTAAGATTTCTTCTTCTTCAATTTTCCTTATATCTAAATCATGTAAAAAACTTCTTCCGCCCACACTTAATTTTCTAAACAACATTATATTATCAGTTAAAGTTCCAGTTTTATCTGAAAATAAGTAGCTAACTTGTCCCAAATCTTCATTGATTGTGGAGGTTCTGGCTTCAGCTGGGGTATCACTTTCTTCATGATACATTGCCAAATCATTATTTATTAAATAAGCTTGAACTAATTTTGTAACTTCCATTGTAACATATAAAGAAATTGGAATCATTGTATTATATAATATTATGAAACCAAATAATATAACTTGAATTTGTTTAGGAGTTTCACCCATGTACCAAAGATTTCCTCCAATACCATTATCCCATAGAACAGATGAAATTGTACAAGCTGTAGATAGTACAATAACAAAACTAAATATTATTATTACTATTTTATTCATTAACCTTTGTATACTTGGAGCTTTTGTACGAATATTTTTTGAAGCATTCATGCGTAATTTTGTTTCTTCTCCAGTAAATATTATAACGCCATAAATTTCAGGGGTATTGCGTAGAATGGTGCCACGCAATAATATTTGATTATTTGTTAATGGGTGAGTGCTACCATCAGGTAATTCAATTGAACCATCAAAATTATATAAATCTTGGTTTGGGTTTTCAGTTTTAACCTTTGCTTTAAAATTAGCCAAAGATTCAGGAGAAGATAATAAAGAATTAGTAGCTTTTAATGCTTGACGTTGTTTTAAATTAGTTTCTCCATCCAATGCAGAAGTCTCAACATAACAAATACCATTTTCACCTTTAGAATGTAATAATAATATATCAGCAGGTATCCATTCTTGAGCTTTAACAGAAACAAAATCACCAACTTTTAAATTTTTCCATTTAGATTCCCTCCAAATCCCCAAGTTTTGATTAGTGTTATTATTATTATTGTTATCATTACTACTACTATTATTATTGGAACCATCATCATTGTTGGTTTTTGTATTATTATTTGATTTATAAATGTTTAATACATGACACTCTTTATTATTTTCAACGTTATCATGTTTATGCCTACGATAATCATCAAAACCTTCATGTGCCATGGCAATTATGATGAAAACAGATAAAGGTATTATGGTGGTGAATTGACCGGTTGGAGAATAATTAGGAATTGTTTGTAGGATAGCAACAAATAAAAAATAAATATTAGCAACTTTTGAGAATTGAGCATAAAGTTGTTTTGGCAGAAAAGTGCAAATATTATAACGAGAAGTTGTAATGAAATTTGTTATAAAGGGTTTTTTTGTCCTTGGATCAATTAAAGGATTTTTTGAATCTGGATCTATAACTATCAGACGATTCTCTTCATCCATGTTAGTCCCTAAAATCATTGTACTAAATCTCTGAGCAGCTTGATGTATACTATCACTACGCCTTGATAATGAAGAATTAATGTGATGAGATAAAGATTTTTTGTGTGATAATGTGTTTTTCTTCATATTTATTAATGTTCCAATAGTATTGCTTCTTTTTAATTGATTTGAAGATGACTTTATCTTTTGATCTTGTGAGGATGATGATGAATCGAATGAATATTTATCTGAATCGTTATTGCCATTGTCATTAATATTATTTATATCAATATTATAGTTTAATTTTGGCCATGTTGAAAATGATTTTCCTTCGCTTGAATGATGCTCTTCTTCTATCCTTGCATTATAACCAGTTGGTATTGAAGTTAGTGTTCGCAATTGTATTGATGATGTTGTTGATTCAGATTTGTATGATAATGGTGAAGAAGGTTGATTGGTTCTTGATGATAGTGTATTTACATCTTCATCTTCACTTTCACCTTCACCTTCATCCTCGCCTTTAAATTTTTTTGTTGATGACATATATTATATAAAATTAAGTTAAATATATAATATTCATCAATAATAAATGCAAAGGAAATTTAAATCAAATTTTATTGTTGTTATTGTTACTGTTATTATTGATTAAAAAAATAATGAACTTTTTTTATTTATAAACGAATTTCTGAATAATGATAATGACAATAATGCCTAAAATGAGGGGACAATGAATTAATAATAAAAAAAGATACTTTAAGAATTTGTCAATTTATTTATAGTAAATAATTTTATTCTGCATTTTTTTTAATATCCATACATAGAAATATTAATTATTAATATATATAGGGTAAAAACACATGATTTGAGGGGTGAGGCAAACGTTTGGAACTTTTAGGAAATCAAGGGAAGATCATTCCGAAATTTTACACAGCATATTAATATATAAAATGGCCCAATTTTGAAGCCTCATCAAAATTTTCTAATAAAAAGGAAAAAGTAAACTGATGGAAATGAATCTTGAGTCTTTTATCTTTGATTCTATCAGTTTATTTCTTCTTTTCTTTTTTAATAATCTTTTAAAGTCATGTGATAATCATTGAACGTTATAGATGTCCCTTCCCTGCACTATATGTAATTATAATTAAAAAAATGATTGACCAACCATTTTTTACAAGATGGTTATACAACATGTTTGTAACAATCAGATAAAAAATAAAAGAAAGCTATGCGCGTATATACGCGCATGCATTTTTATTACTATTTTACTATTGCTATTACTATTATAATTACTATTATAATTACTATTTTCTCTCGTCGCAAAAACCGGTATTATTCTTCGCTAGTGCTAAAGAACCCCATATTAATATATACAGTGAATCTCGGTTTAACGAATAGTCTGGGCAATTTTCCAAAAATCCACCACATCGAGGCTTTTATTAAGATTTATTATGGAGAACTTCATCTGTTAAACCAGATATTTAATTAGTATCTGCTAAATCGAGGACCGCTAAACCGAGATTCATTTGTAATAAGTAATGATGATTATACAAAATTTTTTTACAACATATTGCCAACTTTAAATATGATTTGCGGCAATAATTAAGACTATTTTTTTTTTTTTTGAAGACATATTTAATATGGGATTTGGACTAGGAAAATCGACCTCTCAGCTGATTTTTTTTATTTTGAGTTTTCTTATTTAATATTAATTTATTATACATGGAGAAAAAATTGGATCTTATTTGTATAGGATGAATGAGATACAGGGCTTGGAATTAAAAAATTATACTAAAAATAGATTTTTTGTCTGAGGGGTTGATTTTCCTAGTCCAATTTCCTCCCATATTCTATAGTTAAATTTTTAAATTCTTGAGTTCTATACTTTTAAAATTTGCACAAAATTTAGGAGGTCTCTAGACCATACGAATCATATGGGGCAAAAACTGTGTATTAAAGCAAGTATAATAATAATAATAATAATGAACTGTTCCCGAAAATTTGTTACACGAAAATTGATTGTTTTGTACCCCAAAATTTGAAAAATTATTAAAAAATAAATTTTGGTGAAATGGCCGAGTTTTCATTTTGGTATGGTGCAAGTCACTTAGTCCTGTTGTACGTGAAAATGAAATTATGTGAATTCGCAATTCACATATGTGAAATTCAAATTTACATACGTGAAATTCAAATTAGCCAATCAGAATTTCACCCCACTCCATAATATTCAATTTCACATAATTTCAATTTCACATACAACAGTTCCCACAACTTTTTATTGGTCGTCTAGATTTTCAAATTCTCTAAAAACGGAAATGCAACTCCCCAAAATAAATCGTGTGTTTGAAGCCAAGACCTTCCTCTACAAAATCACGATTTCATCTCATTGATATGTCATGTTGTTGTGGAGAATTTGAGCTTCAAAGTTGCACGAGTTTACCGAATTTACTATTGTTTAGCCCTAAAATGACAAAAAAAGTTAACATCAAAAATAGACGAATTGAAACAAAATCCTATTGCAGATCTTTTATCACGTGAATTTTCCAGATGAACGGGAAGAGAATTATCTTTATTATTAAAAAAATACAAAGTTCATTTATTTTAAATTTAATAAATAGACTATTGCATTGATCAAAGAAATGTGCAATTTGCAAAATATTCTAACGAACGTTTATCAATTATTTAATAGTTTGTGTAGTAGTAATCGAAATAAGTTTTAAGGACAAGATCTATGAACAAAATATACTAACGAAGGTTTTATCAATCATTCAATAGTTTATATAAATTTCTCTTTTATTTTAACTTATATTTAATAACATCACTATAATCATTATTGTTGTTATTTATTGTTCTAATCATCATTTACATATGTATATAGGAATAAATGTAAAAGAAAAATTAATATTTAACACCTGACGATCTTCAAAAATCATATGACTGTAAAATTTTTATTGACTTGCACTATACCTTCGAAACTACCTTTTAACAATAAACCAAATGTCGAAGAAATTAGTCTAATAAATTAAATTGTGCTACTTGAAATTGTATTTAAAGGGTTGGTTTTCGACTTGGTCAAAGAACAACTCTCTTTCTAACTCTTCTCTTGAACATATCTCTTGATATAACTTCGAAACTACCTCGATATAGCATAACAATAAACGAAATGATTGTCGATGAAGTAAACGTGACCAATTTAAGAGACAAATTTATGATTTTTTTGAATGTTCTAGTAAATTTTTTATTATTGTTTTTTAAAAAACAAGTTTATAGAGCATGCATAGTTATGATGCTAGCCAAAAATTGACAAAAATTAAAAAGTATTTATTTATTTATTTAACACGATATTATTATTAAAGTATACTTTTGTAATTAAAGCACAAAATTCGTCTGATAGCTTGATTGTAAGGTTTCTGGTCTAATATACCTACCTCTATATAAAAACCGTTGAAAAACCCAAATCGACAAAATAGTTTGAGCTTTGAGTAACAGTTTGGGCTAGAAACCTTACTTGATTGTCAGACCTATTTAATCATTTTAATAATATCAAAAACAATTTTCAATTTAATGATTTAGCGTAACATGTGCATTGTTTAGTATCTACTACTACCATTTAATTTATTTATTATTAGTATAATTTGCATTTGTATGATTGTAATTAAGGAAGAAATTTGATATTATGGAATTCAGAAAATTCAGGTAAAATCAGAGTGCTAATTAGTTTGCAAGTATGCGAATGACTCAAATTTATGCATCATGAAAGGAATATTACCAATTTGTCTGATCCACACACTCTACTAAGAAACAATAATTATTATCAATACTAAAATATTCAATGTCGATATTGTTGCCATCACTATCATCACCTTATTTATCATTAGTACGATACATAAGCCGACGAAATAATTTTCGACGAAGTGAACTTTCGACGAAACAAACTCTCGACAAAATGAGCTTTCGACAAAATGAACTTTCGACGAAATTTAACCATAACGAAAACAAAATTAACATTAACATTATACAAGCGATAAGAATACAATTGTTTATTAATTGATTGTTTACATACTACATCTCTTTTGTTAAATCATTAATGAAAATAAAGAAAATAAATACCAATTTTATTTAATATATAAAATATCCGTGTGCATTTTTTTTAAAAAAAAGATATTTTAAAATTCAACCAAATGTCAACCAAAAGAAGAACTACTTTGACAGCTTTACAAAAGAAAGAGTTATGTTTGTTGAAACAAAGAGATCCGAATATTTCTAACGTTGAACTTGCAGATATATATAGTGTTGGGAAGTCTACAGTAACCGAAATTTTAAAAGAAAAAGATAAATGGATTACAAATTGCATATTACGATCACATGACTATAAATGTTATAGAGAGCTTTGACTGTAAATAGTTTTAATTAATCCTCCTATTTTTTATCTTCTTAATACTCACATATCCATTTAATAAAACCATTAAATGATTATTTAATGTATCAAGATTTCATTTTATTCCTTAATTTATTCTTAACTTTATTTGGGAAAATATTCTTTCTACATTAATTTGAAAGAGGCATATTTTAACCAGAAGGGATATGTTTGGTAATACGTATTATAATTTGCACATTTAAAATTTTATATTATATATTTATAAATTTAATAAAAAAATAGTAAATATAAACAACTAGAAGTCAATAACAACATATCTTCAACTATTCTACATTATACTATTTGTTTTACCTATTTTTCTTTTTAAACAATAATGCGGGAGCTTCCTGTAATTTTACTATGAAAATAATTAATATAATTAATACATTATTGAAAATTAAATCAACAACATCACCACATCGTAATTTATTTTTAAATATGAAACATGAGAAAGAGAGAAGATATAGCCTGTTTATTTTATTGATTTGTCAATTCTTATTTTCTCCTATTACAGAATTTTAACGATGATAATGTCGATGTTGAAGTAAATCTATTCTATTTTTATTTGATTACTTTTTCTTTGATGAGGAAGGGATGTCGTAGGGCGATGTTGTATCAAATATTGTTTAGTATTAATTATTGGACTTGCAGTTTTTATCTTCTTATCATTCATTTACTTCAATAGATATATGATATTATATTTTTATATGATATATAGGAACAAATGAAAGCATTATATAATTATTAAATTTTTTTATAAAGTTATTTTATTTATTTATAAAAATATTTAGAAAGTTTTTCAAAATAATATAGGTTTCTAACATATCTGATATGGTGATTTGGAATAAAGATATTAATTAGTTTACGAATTTACTTTAAGTTCCCTTTTTCTTGCACCTAGACGAATCTGCGAGAACACTTAATGGTACCAGACAACTGTAAATAATTAAAGATGGCCTTTTTTCAATGCTATAAAGTTCCTTTTATTCATTTGTGATCGATTTATTTCAGTCGTTTACATTTATTGACTGATTGCAACTCGGTTTGGTTTATCTTGTTAAACAACTTAAGTAGCTTGTTTAACAGCCTTACATTTATGACCACAATAATACTGCCAGTATTTCCTATTAACCTTTAGATGATACTTTATCAGCAACACTAATTAACCAACGTTAGTCCAAACCTTTGCTTACCCATTAAAGCAAATTACGTTACTAATCATTGTTAACATTCACTAATTAACCAATGATAGTCCTAACCCTTGCTTGCTTGCACACTAAAGCAAATAAACGTGCTTTTTACCAAAGCTCCACAATCGTTACCAAGGCACCAACTACTTGTTGCTTTTATCAAAGAAAGAAAATAAAGTCAATGTTTTTGTTGTATTTTTATTTTTAAAAGTTTATTAACAATTAATTTTATTTAATAAAAATAATGAACTATCAGAATTTTATTTTATTAGAATGTTTGTTAATCGTCTATTATTTTCCTCTGTTTAGACCAGAAGTTATCCTTACTGATATTATAAAAGCTTCCATAATTTTTTAACGTTAAGTTTGGATGGAAAGTCTGTGTTCAGTTCGTTATGAAAAACCTTGTCAATTTTGACCAAAGAAATACAAATAAGAATAAAAAACATCAACCGTTCTTATATATATTAATATGTAAAAAAATGTAAAATAAAAAATATTATTGAATTTGAAAATATATACGCATGTACATTAAACTATTATTTATTTCTAAAAAAATCATTGAAATTATTGTTTTTTGACGAGATTTATTTGATCATACTAAAAGAGACAGACAAATACACTTTATTTTAAGTGAATTTATTACTAAAAAAAAACTAGATAAAATGTTTATTTATTTTTAGATAAAAATTATTGTTTATTTAAAAAGCAATTGATGAAAACCATTAGAATCGTTATTTTGGACATAATAATAACAAGTACACTGTAAGTTACGCATGGAAATTTTGATTTCCTTAACAAAGATTTACATTAAATTTTTTTCAAAACAAATTGAATTTCATTTATTTTTAATTAACAACTAGTAGTAGTAATGTATATAAGTTAATGTGTATATTGTTAATTATCTGTTTATCGGATAAATGCAAAAACATTTTTCAAAATGAACAAATATTAAGTATTCTAAATAATATTGATATTGATAATGTCCATAATGATCTCTTGATTGGATTGAATATGCCAGAAAATATTTACGATATCAATTGGGATCAGATATATGAAGAACAATCCGAATAATAATATTAATTATATATAATATGGATTAAAAATTTTTTTTGTCTTTTTAAAAAAATAATAATTAATATTTAAATATTATTAGTAAATGTAAAATGTTGAGATTTTTAATCAAAATCATTTCTATATATTAATAACGTAAAGTTGGCCTTTTTTGGTTTGTAGAAAGGCCATTTTCTATTTTTAATAATAAAAATCCTAGCGTTAAAAATTTAATCCAAATAAATATATTTCATACAACTGTGGTGGTGATTATTGATCTATTACTTGCTACTCTAGTTATTTATAAAAACTTTTGCGTAAAATTTTCATGATAATAATTATACACTAAAATTGGTTGACCATGGAACATAAAGCGCCGGATCCCTAATACTAATCGATGGTTTTATCTACCCGATCATTGTTAATAATAAGAAATGTTCGAGTTTAATAGTAAATAAGCATGTGGAACTGAATTTGTATTCAGCAAAAGAAAAACTTGGCTCCTTGGGAAAACACAAGAAAAAAAGGCCTTGGAATATATTTGCAAGTTTTTTTTGTGAAATTTTATATTTTATTAGCCTTTAAAGCAATTTTACTTGCGTCATTTTTGACTTAATGGAAGCGAATTGGCGTAATAGTTAAACAATCTTACTGAAAGCTATATAATTTTATCGAGCAAATATTCTTTATTGAAATTTAAACAAAAATCCAGACAACTTCAAATTTCACTTAAATAATGCACGACAATCCATTTAAACTTTACAATAAAGACTATAATAAGGCAGAGAAATTGTTACCTAGTTTAAATTTAATTTAAGGAAGAATAGTGTAATTTTTGTTGTTTTAAACCGACAATTTTCTTATAAGAAGTTGATAAGTGAGTTTACGGGGAAAGTATATTTTCCTCTTTATCACAAGAAGAGTTAGTTAAGAATTGAAAGTCTGATGATTTTTCCTTCAAATTGGCACAGGTAATTGAGTATTGTTAATTATTAGAAACGCGAGAAAAATGGGTATGAGCTTATCTCTTAACCGAGGGTATGATGATAAAGAAAAGTACTGGGAAAAGAGGGAGTATAGACACTTAGTTGAGATGGGTCCATCTGCATTAATTAGAATGACAAAAGAAAAAACGTACATATGCTCAAAAAAAAAAGATAACACAATAAACAACAATAATAAAGAAGCATGGTAATACAAAATCTTATTCGGGTTACTTGTAATAGTAATAGGTAGATCAAAACGAATCATTTCTAATTGTTTCTATTAATTGTAAACATCATAGTGATGCAACTAAGGAAGTTTACTTACTTTTTATGGAAAGGTTTAGTTAACTTTTTTGAATTTTAGTATTATTACTATTACTATTACTATTACTATTACTATTACATACTATATTATTCCTACTATTAATAGTCGAAAAATTTTCTATACCAATATTAATCAAACTTTGTATTCCCCTTAAGGAACGGAAAAACTTCAAAGTCAGATGATCATTTTGTATACGTATAGATAACGTGCAAAAATTTAGTGTAATATTCAAGACTTTACTATTACTATATAGGGGAGAGGAAATCAAATTCACTAATACTTATGCTAATTAAATGGGTTTCCGACATCGTTTCCCTACAGAGTGTTTCTTAAAATGCAATCCCTCGATTCAATTTGTACAGGGCGGTCAGTTTAGTTGTATAGTATGTGAAATGAGTTGCCGGGAAACGTCTTGTCGGAGAATCATCCTGTCGGGGAATCATACTGATCCAATTAAATTGCTAATTGTCGACTTTTACAGAAAAAGTTTATATTTTTTGTGCCATAGAATGATATCCTTTTATTACAATATTAGAATTAAATGCCAGTATTTAACGGCAAAACTAGGAGGATAAAAATATTTTAGATGTAAAATTAAATTAAACCACCGACATTTAATTCTAATATTGTAATATATATATATATTAATATATGAATAAAGTAAAATCTCGAATATAAAAAAATTAATATTAAAGGGTTGTATAGTAATAGTAATAGGTGCTAGCAATTATTAAATTATTTATTATTATTATTATTATATTTCCATATTTGGGGTATGCTGCAACAACCAGATAAAGCGAACATTGGTATATATTACCAAGAATTTCAGGGATTAGAAATGTTAATCGAAATCGAAATAATCGATTATGAAATTGATCGACAAATCGAAGAAATCGATTTTTACATTGCAAATAGTAGTAGCAGTAGCTTTATTTGTTTTATGCCTACGAGTTAACAACTTCTACATATTTCAGTATTAATAAACTGAAAGTATCTAGGTCACATGTCCAAAACACAATTGGATGTTACTTCAATAAATTCCGTTTTATTTACAACATAAATTTTAAAATTTTATTTTTTATTATTCTTTGACGGGTAAAAAATTATCAACAAATTTTTTTGTTCCGTTTCAAAAAAAGAACATGGTCAACAGACTGCGAGCTAAGTCTATTTTCGTAACAAAGTAATTTGTTGTCCTGTATCAGAGAAAGGTCCTTCCGAAGGAACTGATGAAGAAGGAATTGCAAAATAATTTTTGGCTAAAATAACAAGTATTGGGAATTTTTTTCATTATCACACCACCATTTTAATGGTTCATTTTCTTCAACAGGAAGTACCTGGGGTATGTTTTTATATGATTCAAATTCATCCCTGTCTAATTCAGCTATTTCTTTAGTTGAGACTTCTAAATTAAAATTGTTTCAAATATTAATATATTAATACTATTATTATTATTATTATTTATTACTACTAATATTGTTGTTGTTGTTATTAGCACTGCTATTATTATGCTTATAATGTTTAGAATGAAATATGTATATTAATTTGTATATTATGTATGAATTTGTTCGTTAGGTTATGGCATTTAATTTTTAAAACCAGACTTCTAAATTAAAATTGCTTCAAATATTACTATACTTATTATTAATATTGCTATTATTATTGTTATTATCATTACTACTGTTAATTTATTTATCACTTGATTTTTTTTCAATTAAATCGATTATAAAATTTTGTCAATCACTTTTTAATTGATTGTGGAAAAATCGATTTTTGTATAATCGATTAACATCCCTACTGAGTAAAGAGTTCAAAACTTGTTTCAGTTTAAATAAAGTTTAAATAAGTAATCTTTTTTTAACTAATAAAAACATTACTAACTAATGAATGCTATATTATTATTTTAGCTTATTGTATATTATGAGCTTTAATTATAAGAAGCTAAATCTGATAGGTAATAGCATTGAAAATACATATTAACAAATCAATGAACAAATGGAAAATTTAAACCCATTAATTGTTAAATTGTATTTTCCAATCAATCAATTAATTATCATAAATGCAACAAAAATACATCTTCTTAAGTAAAAGCCACTTAATTAACCATATTTATAGATGAATTATTGGAAAAGTATTCATTTACAAGTGCAACAATCATTAAGTAACCTTTTCAGACTATAGCTGTTTTCTGTAATATTATGGACAATTATAGCAAACAACTATATTTATTAGCACATACAAGATGAATTTCTAAAATCTAATTAAAAATAAGTGATGATAAAAATTAGATAATGATAAGAATTCCATAATAAAATTCATTCAATTACAACATCTTCTTCACCATCTCCAATACTAAGCATTTGATTTAGTAACAATCAAGAAATTTCATAACCACGTGGTATATCAGTTTCAGTTTGTGAATTTGATTCTTCTATTATATTTAATTAAAATAATTTTATAGTTTGCATTTTATTATTTTATTTGAATTTAACATTAGCATTAAAAGAACCAACATAACATTATGTACCTCATAAAAAAAATTAATAATATCTTTGTTGGTGTTTTGGAGATGGATTAATAACATCATGATCTTCCACAGGTGTAAGTAAAAGAACCTTGTTGGATCAATGGATTCACTTATTGATTGATTTAATTCTTTTATGGCAGGTTGTATACTGGAGATGGCTCTTTCAAAAATTACCATACCAATTAAAAAATCTCTTACTTCTTTTTCTGAAGTATGCTTTGTAAGTGGCAATGGAAGTGAAAATAAATCAATAAAAACTCCAAAGTTATTTTTAGATTTATCATAGTAGTATAAATCCAAATTAGTTCCTGTTTATGTCAGTGTATTCATGGATTGCAAAAATTAAAAAATTGACCAAATATCTTAGATTATTATTTATATAAAATAGCAAAGTTAACATACCATGAGTTAGCATGCAGATTCGTGGTAATTTTTTAACCTTGTTCAATTTATTTTCATTAATTATATTGCCATGCATTAGTTTGATTTTATCTAAGGTACTCCTGATATTTCGAGAACAATATCTAATCAATTTTCTTCTATTATACTCTGTTCGCAACTTGCTTGGTTGGAAAGGAGGACCTGCTGCTTCACCATATAACAATTTGAGAGAATCTTTACCAAATTTATATTTAACCATCCAATCTAGAATTCTTGAGGAGTTGTTGTAATTTTTTTTCATTTCTTCTGAGGAAATTCCCACTAACCATTGATCATAATCTATGTCATTTAAAGACTAGTGCCGTAAATTATGATTATGGTGGTAATTGTATTTACAGCATATAAAAAGTGGTCGCAATTACCTTTGCAACCATTTTTGCAACCAACTTTTTCCTTTTTTGGATTACAGCACTAGTCTTTAATGTCATTGTCAAAATTTCCTTCTTCTGCAACACTACCATTCCTATTATTGAAAATCAGTATCAATAAAAATAATTATCTTTTTAAATATTAATATAACACATATGTAAATTACCAAAATATTCTAGAGGTTTTTTTTTCCTTTTCAATGATCTTATACATCAATGGATGTACCAATTCATAAAGGTGTCCTCATTGATGTCTTCATTCCCAAATTGTTTATTCTCAAATATCTCATCAAGCTACAATTGATTACTGTATGTTTTAATAATAAGTGTCGTTAAAGTCTATTAAAAGATTAGGGGTAATCAAAGTTGTTTCTGTTTTACATTGTCTAAGAGGGCCTTGTAAAATAATGAACAGAAACATAACAACTTTTGGTGTCCCTTATTAAAAAAAATTTTAAACTACTAACAGTATCTTAAATATGCCAACTACTAAATCATAATCCTCTCTATTTGAAGTATTTAAAGGGATAGCTGTTTGTTGATTTTGACATACTGACTAACCCATTCTGAAAACCTAGTTTCAATGTTTTCCATTCTTTCACCTGTTCATTTTCTGAGATGATTTCTTTAAGCTCATCCTCAATATGTATGTCTTTTCAATAAGGCTGATGGATTACTGAGATCTATAGAATATGCCATCAATGGCATCAATGGATCATTAAAGAAAATGTCCAGGTAATTAACATTAATCATATGTTTTGCTATTTTTTTAATAGTGCTATGTTAACAAATATAATATAAGTATATTTTATAATAAATTGATAAAATAATTTCTATTACTATTATATTCAAAGAAAACTTACTGAAGTATTATTATATCTTTCTTTTATTTTAATATGTAAGTCTTCAATTTCTTCAGTCTTTTTTCTTTTTTTACCTTTAATTGAAGGTGTGTCTAAAGGTTCAGGAAGGTTTTCGCTATCTAATATTCATGTTTAAATATATTCAAGTTTAAATTAAAAAGTGTTATCATCAATAATGAAGTACTGGTGCCACTCAAGTATCTTTACCACGTATATTTAAGACTCTTTTCTTTTTTGATCATCTAGAAGACAAAATTTTTCAATAATAAACTAGAATAACGACGAGTAGTGGCAATAACCACCACCACCATCCTTAAATCACTTATCCACATTCAGCTCCCAGTTCATTCATTTTACTTCTTTTATTGGTGTTTTTAATCTGTTTGATGACATTTTTAAAATAAAATAAAAAAAAGAAGTTTGTGATTTGATCGACAAACGCATCATTAATTTATTTATCTTATTGGTTTTTTTTTTGGGGAGGACAGATGCGAATTGATTGATTTTTTGACAGAGTCCAAGGTGACAGACAAAACGTGAGTGTTGTTTGTTTGGTTTGGTTTGGGTCACTTAAAGAAACGTGTTAATAACTAACCAGAGGTACTTTTTTTATTTGTATTGATATGTATGAGGTGTCTTTTATTTTAGCTTATAAATATTTTAATTGGAATCAAAACACGGAGCAGATCTTGCTGGGTAATTTCAAGATTCTCATTGATAATATTTTCCTTTGCTTAATCGTAATAATAATACTAATATTATATTATTATAATTACAAGATGTCAAGGCAGCACACCATTGAAAAAGAAACATTTTGAGTATGCGAAGTTTGATTATCGGAAATTTACAAGTGTTTAAGCACGCACGCTACCTTGAACACATTACGGTCATTCTCTCATCTTCCTCGCTGTCTGCACAAGGCTAATTTGACTTGCGCCCCCCGATGATACAATGATGCAACTGAACTCCAGGGGGGGGCAGCATGGCCCAGGAGTTTACCGAGACTGCACCAATCGTCAAGGATGCTTTCACTAATCTTCCCTTACAGCACCAGACCAGAGAAGGCTGCTGGCACGCTAGCCAAAAAGTTGCCTGCAACGATTCCACCTCTAGGGCAAGGATGGCTCTGTGACCAAGCTGTTGCAACTCTGGAGGAATATTAAGAGAATCTGCAGCTCGTTCAAGCACAGGAAGTCACAATTCAGAGCAGGGTTGGTGGCCCTGAAATTGCATTTGGCTCTGATGTTAAGAGGAAAGTTGTAAAATAGTGTTTGTTTGTATAATCATTTTCCTAAATTCTCTCTTTCTCTGATTCTAACCAATTTATAATTTTGGATAGGGGATTGAACTGGGTTTTTGCCCAATCAGTTCCCTGTTTTGTAGATTATATTATTGCACAATTATATACATCTTTGTCAGCAATATAGCCAACAAGGAAAAGTCATAAATGGTTTGGATTTTGGTATGGTATGTTATAAATTAATCATTTTCCCAAATTTTATGCTTCTCTTTAATTTTTATTTGACCAACTGAATTTGTTTTTTGAATGGGGGTAGGATTGTTGGCAAGTTGGCATGCCACTGACAAGACAGGAGACACTTTGAGATATACCAGCCAACTCATGGAAAGGGATCTTTTGTCCAGACTTAGGTTCACATGGATGTTAAGCACAGAAAATGTACACTATCAATGTATATTTTTTCAACAAAATAAACATTTAAATAATTAATTGTTAAATATTAATACTTTTCTTTTCATAAAAATTATAGCAACCCAGGTTGCAGCCTCCCGAGTTGGAGAATTTTCAACCAGTTGCAGGTGCCAACTTTATTCTAGTGAGTGAGGGGTATAACACAAAGCAATCACCACACAAGCACCAGCTATCAGTGATCAATGCCCATATGGTAACGGCCAAGCCTGGTCTGAGGGGAAGATAAGAAAATGTTTTGTCCAAAGCCTTCCAACATGTGGGGGCCTTCACTGTGGAAACAATCCCACAATTATGGAGGTGTGTGAAAGCACCCAACCATATGTTTGTGATAGGAAATTTTAGTTAAATCTGTCACCTGCAATCAACATCAGATTTATTATTCATAATGAACCATACAATGGAAGGAAATATTTTTTTTGATCCTCCCTATTTATTTATTCTTGTGAATCCCAGAGATCTGGGTAGAGACACATTATTAAAAGTTTCATTTCTGTATGGCCTTGGTATCATTACTACCTGGGTGATGCAATTGTTTGTTATGTCAATGATGATATCAAATGTATCACATAATAATCATGACCACCATGAATATTC